GGGATGGTATGGAAAAGGAAGGATAGAAGAAAGGCAGGGCAGGGCAGGACAGGAGATGGGCAGGAGATGGGCAGGAGATGGGCAGGAGATGGGCAGGAGATGGGCAGGAGATGGGCAGGAGATGGGCAGGAGATGGACAGGGAAGAGCAGGGCAGAAGAAGGACAGAAGAAGGACAACGGGAAAGGTAGGCAGGGGAAAGGCAGGATAGAAGAAGGGCAGGGCAGAGAAGGGCAAGGGCAAGGGCAAAGAAAGGTAGGAAATGGGCAAGTATAGGGGAAGTGGAAGGGTAGGGAATGGGCAGGAAATGAGCAGGCAGGGGAAGGAAGGGCAGGGGCAGGCAGATAGGGGAGGGAATGACCGGGGAGAGCAGGGTAGAGGAAGGATAGGGGAGGATGGCAGTAGAGGGCAGAAGAAGGCAAGGGAAAGGCGAGGCAGAGAAGGACAGGGCAGAGGATAGGGTAAGTAGGGGAGGACAAGGCAGGGTAGGAAATGAATGGGCAGGGCAGGCAGGTGAGGGAAGGAAAGGAGAGGAGGTGATAGGCAAAGGGCAGGGAAAGGATAGGAAAAGGGTAGAGAGGAAGAGATGGTAGGGGAGAGGGCAGAGAGAACAACGGGGTAGGTAAGGTAGGTCAGGGAAAGGCGGGACAGAGTAGAGTAGGGGAAGGTGGGAGATGAAGGTAGGCAGGAGAGCGAAGGGAAGAGAAGAGAAGGGAAGAGAGGTCAGAGAAGGGAAAAGAAGGGCAGATGACGAGAAATGAGATAGTAAGGAAGAGGGCAGGCAGACGAGCAACGCAGAACAAACAGGAAAGCAGAGCAAGTAAAGCAGTACGAGCAGGGCAGGCAGACGAAGTAAGAAAAGGAGTAAGCCGAACGAACGCAAAGAACGCGAGCAAAGGCAAGTAGAAAACAAGCAGAAGAAGCAACGAGAATAGAACTATCTAATAAGAATAGAAGGTGAAGATGTGAGGAAGAATAGGAAGAGTAAGAGGAGAGGAGAGAAGAGGAAGTAGGAGCAAAGAGTAGAGAATAGGTGAGGAGGGGGGAGTTGTAGGAGGGATAGTTTTCCGAGAGACAAGCAGGGCTGACAGTCCCTTTTTATAATCGTCCAAATGGCACCGAGACGGGGCAGAAAAAGCTTGCAAAAAGTCAGCGCTCGATATAATTAGAACGATTGAGTTAGGGTGCGCAAAATGACTTCAGTGCAGGTCATCAGTCCAGTTTGGGCCGAACTGGAACGGTGGACGGCCTCAGGAGTCCCAAGAATAGATCCGCGTTCCATGAGACGGACCACAGTATAGTTCCCAACGAAAACTCATCCATCTGGGAGCCGTGGATAAGTAGGAAGCCGAAGTTCCAGGGTGTCGCCTGTTTTACACCAGGGCTACGTGGATCAAATTCGGCATCAAGTCAGCTCGATGAAGTATATCCCTATCCTAGATGTAGAGTAAGTCTTCGGCACATAATATGGAAACAGTAGAGCCAGAGGCAGCGGAATGTCTATTGCACGTGCACTAAAATAAGATGTTTAAAAGTGTTTTTCGTAATTTTGTGAGCCACTAGAGGCATAAAGCTATAACTCGATAAAATATGGTATAAACCTCGTCAGAAATACGTACTGAGGGAAAGATGCATGCCATCAGTGCCTATGACCGAACCACCACTGTAACTGCAAATGCTAGCAAGTCGGACGCGCATTTCCTCATGCCGGTCCATTCGGATTCGTTATCAACCATCGTCACAAAGACTTCCCATTATTCCGTAGCAAAGAAACAGATCCGCAATGAATACCTCGTAAATGGAGTTGCACACACAGGCTATATACCTTAGACAGTGTACTTGGCCTTGGCTCTCGTGCTGCCGCTGTGTGCGCTGTCCGTGTGACCCGAGAACTCAACGGCATCAGCCTCCTTGAGACGAAGGACTTCCTTGAACCGCCGACCAATGTTCTCAAGGATCTCCTTGCCCTGTGCGGGTGTGCGACCGTTCTTGTCTCCGGGGATACTCTTGCCAACAGTCCGGGTCCACAGACCAACACGGTAGAAGCCCTTGCGTACGTTCACAACAACACCCATAACCTCGTTGTCACCATCGTTCTCGAGAGTCTCGCCGATGGCGGCCAGTTGTGCGTGGAGCCACAGGTCGTCGATGGGCACGGAGCGCTTGTCCTTGAAAGAGTAGGACCACTTGCCTCCGTGCTTGTTCTGGGGGTCTTCCCACTCGGGACGAACTCCCTTCTTGAAGAGATGGTAGTCGGCTTTGAGGCCCAACTCGGACGTCGGCGAAATGTTATTCTATTGAAGCATTGGTTAGCCGGGGCGAGACTCCTCGGAAGGCCCAAAACGGAGAACACATACGTAAATACCCCAGAATTCCTCAACAGAGTTAAAAGTCACAACTTCCTTCAACAGATCGTTCCAGTTATCGCCCTATTGCGCAGGAGAGGTTAGTTGTCTGACCAACTGCTGTGTCTGATTCAACGAGAATCCGTACCTTGCCGCTAGGGGGCTTGGTGAACCACAGAGTCCACTCGTGCATCAAGGGATGCTTCACAGTGAAATTTTCGGGGTCGTGGAATACTGTGACAGAGTCTCCATTTGTCTTCTCGGTCTGTTCCTTCTGTTCGACGGCGGCAGCAACGGGGGCGGCGTTCTCGTCAGCCACGGGCGCGTGACCGTTCTCAGCAACAGCGGCCATTATGAAAGTTGATTGAGGAGGTGAGGGAAAAGTGAGGGTGGTTGAAGAGGATGCAACGGCGAGATTGTGGTGATGAGAGGGAGAGCGGTCGTGTCGGAGGGGAAGAGACAAAATAGCGCGGATGGCAAATTTTGTGTCGGAGAGAGAATCGCGGAAGGCGCAGCTGGGGGGGTTGACGGGCTCAGAGTAGGAGCGGAAAGTGGCGCGCTCGGTTCACGGAAAGTTGAGTCGTCTGCTCCAGGCAGAATCACGGCGAGAGAAGTCGTGATAGAAGGGGATTTCTTGAGGCGACGACAGAAAATCACAACCTGAAGTTTTGATGGTTTGGAGAAAGCCGCATTTGGGGACACGATTGGAACTTTACCCTTTTGGGCCACGCCGCTTTGCAGTGCTTTCATAGGCTAACCGCTGCCCAACCCCAGCCCTAATCGCCGGGAATGTCATCTTGTCGACATCAGGGAATATTATTTATAGATTATATTTTTTATATATATGATGTGGATTAATTCCAAAGTCTACGCATTGATGCTGTCTTGTTACACTGTCGAGATTTGTTCAGGTCAGATTTGAGAGCTAATAGTAGTGCTACAGACGGTTACTTACAGTACTACTTTGCAAGCAATTTGAAATATATAAAACCGTCCGCGGTCTAGTAGCCAGGTCGACGAGCAACACTCGAAACCACACAACTATCAGCAAGTACTAGGTTCGTAGTAATTTAAACTTCTTATAAGACACTAAACAACATAATGCTACTTATTACCATCAAAATAATCAATGTAACACGCGCAGAAAAACCTGTAGGTATAATAATCGAATAAAAAACAATTGGACCAGATAAAATCTAGTAATCTATGGAAAGCATAGGGATATCTGCAAAGTGTCTACAAGAGATGGGGTATTGATAATCAAAGTCACTTCTCACCGCTGTTAATCAGGCTCAACAAGCAGTTCCAGCCTAGTGATGTCAGTATCATTCAATGTTAGTAGGAGCCTGGGATATACTTACCCAACGCGACTAGGTTGACAAAAAGCACACGGTACTCAAGTGGCACGATGGCAAAATTGACTCCTTGGACGAGAGGCCAGATTGCAAGGTTCGCTTTGAAGCTGGGAACAAAACCATTACGCCACTTCTCGATGGGATCGGTGCCTTCCATGATGGCCATGGAAGACAGGAAACAAGTCAGGTGTGCGGGAGTAAAGACACATTGATCCGCGACGACACGGGCAAGGAGGGTAGTTTTGGCGCTGTTCAGGACGACATGACGCTGGAGGACACCGTACCAGGTGGTGGCAGCGGGTCCGAAGATCGCTGCAACATGTTAGCTTGCCCACTTGCATTGTATGGAGGAAGGCTCCCCAGGACTTGTAAGGGCACAAAGGGGGCCTCAGAATGATAAGGGATCATATAGTAGCTTACCTCCACCATAAAGAGCCATGCGCCCCGTTCTTGCCATGTCGTGCTTATCAAATCCCTTACGATCGACTAATTGTTGGGCTAGAACATCTCCACTACCAAACAACAGCTAGTCCGCATGGGAAATAAAGGTCAGCGCAAACTGATATTACGTTGGAGTTGAGACCAAATATTAGGAGGTACGATGGTAAATGAATGAATGCGTTGTAAGAGGAACGGAGTTCTTACAGCACTCGTCACACTAGCAGTGAGGATAGGCTGCTTGGCCAACCTCGCCTGATACCTGTGCCTGATCAGCAATGGAAATATTGATCATCAGGGTGGACAAAACATACCAACGCAACATTATCAAAGAATAGAATATGACTATATATTAAGTAAAACTAATTAATGCAATTGACTGTGAACAGAGACGATAATCCCAGCGCCACAGATTTGTAAATAGTTGGAGAAGAGCAGAAGAGGATCCAAGGGGAGCTATGATAACTTCAAATAATTGGATCAGAACCCCAGACCGCCGATAAGAGCATCAGCGGGAAGTTGAAATGGAAAAAATAAAGCAAAATCATTGGAAGATAACGGCTCCCAATGGGGTATCATCCACTTGTCACATGATGATACGGGATGGGGGGCTCCAATCGGGTTACCTAATCGGGAGGGCACCTTAGGGCACAGGGCTGCGGGCTCGCTTAGCGCACCCGCCAGCGAAATTTCCCAGGTGCCAAAACAAGTTGTGGATAGCGAGAAGAAAGTCAACCTCGACGTCGACAACCCCAACGACACCTCCCGTCCGTTACCTCTCCCCCCCGACTTTCTCAATCGCCATATATATCCAACATGGCTGACGCTCCCCGTGGACGTGGAGGATTCGGCTCTCGCGGTGACCGTGGTGGTGACCGTGGCCGTGGCCGTGGTCGCCGTGGTCGTCGCGGTGGTGCCAAGGAGCAGGAGAAGGAATGGCAGCCCGTCACCAAGCTCGGCCGTCTCGTCAAGGCTGGCAAGATCACCAGCATGGAGCAGATCTACCTGCACTCCCTGCCCGTGAAGGAGTACCAGATTGTGGACTTCTTCCTCCCCAAGCTGAAGGATGAGGTCATGAAGGTACGAACCGATCGCCCGATTACCGAATTGTCGACAAGGAAGATCTACGATCGTGCGCGGGAAATAGGATTGAGTGCGCCGGCGGAAGTTTTACGTGGATCGGAATTGCAGACATGATGGGGTCAAAAAGGATATATCGAAAAAGTGGGAGGTGCTGACGGCTGGAAAATTTAGATCAAACCCGTCCAGAAGCAGACCCGTGCCGGTCAGCGTACCCGCTTCAAGGCCGTCGTTGTCATCGGTGACTCCGAGGGTCACATCGGTCTCGGTATCAAGACCTCCAAGGAAGTCGCTACCGCTATCCGTGCCGCCATCACCATCGCCAAGCTCAGCGTTCTCCCCGTCCGTAGAGGTTACTGGGGTACCAACCTTGGTGAGCCTCACTCTCTGCCCGTCAAGCAGAGCGCCAAGTGTGGTTCCGTCTCCGTCAGAGTATGTCGCGACTCATTCCCAATATTCGATCTCGCTTCTCCGTCCGGCCCTTATGCTAACCCGGTTATAGCTTATCCCCGCTCCCCGTGGTACCGGTCTCGTTGCCTCCCCCGCTGTCAAGCGTCTGCTCCAGCTTGCCGGTGTCCAGGATGCCTACACCTGCTCTTCCGGTTCCACCAAGACCCTCGAGAACACCCTCAAGGCCACTTTCCTTGCCGTCGTCAACACTTACGGCTTCCTCACCCCCAACCTCTGGAAGGAGACTAAGCTCATCCGCAGCCCTCTGGAGGAGTTCGGTGATGTCCTGCGTCAGGGCAAGAAGTACTAGAATAGTGCTATGATGGGAATAACCTTGCATGATTGTTTTTGAATCGAACTATTTTCCTACGGGTTTTCAAAAGTCTCTTCGGTTGTAGGATCGGCAGTACCGGCAAATCCTGACTTTTCGCGCTATGCTACGCTATATACGGTATTCATGGATGTAATGAACACGGGAACAGTGAATAAGGAAAAACAACGTGATGTCGATCCAAGCTCTCTTTCGGCAAGCCGACGGTACTTGAAAAAAGTGGGTGGCTGACGGGTTCCTGCATTGCTATGCCTGCACACGGTCCAGATATAGTAGGATGGGCTAGGCCTTCAATCAGGGGTCCCCGCGACGTAGTGCTCGATTTGACGAACAGTGGCTGCTCTCTAGACCTTCCATATTTTCAGCTTCCTCGTAATGACGTAGTTGTTAATCTCAACTCAACTTTCTCTGGTCTACGTATCAGACAATGTAGTGGAGAAGTTGTGCCTGGATGTGTTCCAGATTCCGCATACGGCTCCGCCTAAACCCACTGCTTGCTTATCTGCCACGCCCCCAGCCATCAACAATGTCGACGGCATCCAGCCGACATTCCCCGTACCTTGTCATTTTATGCACACGAGTCCGTCGCAAATTGTGCAATCACAATAACTTGATCTTCATTCGCTTGATGCGGTCGAATAAAACAAGAGCAGACTGTAGAACCCGTGGCGCATGATCCACCTCCCGTGCGTCCCGCAACCATGCCTTCAGCTGCCGATCGAGGAATAGTCCGAGATCCATCGAGTTACTGGATTGATAGCCAAGTCACGATCCTTTTGCCCTTGTTGGTACCACCATCAATCAACCACCTTCGGGCTGGTATCCCTTTCTCCTCCACTTCCCCTTCATATCTCACTAAGCGCCGGGGAGTATTACGGACCACTCATTTAGATAAACTCCAAGCCAGTAAGACTCAAGTTAGCACATGTCAGCTGCGCCGCGCCGCTGACAGCCTGGCACTTATCCAAGGGGGAAACAATAATCCGACAGGATTTGAGGGAATCGGCAGTCGCTGAGCCGATGCTTATTTATTATCCAAGGATTCCTTCATTTCATTCCTGCAAAGTAAAGTTCTGCTGACACGAGTACCCGCCCGAGCTTGGGCTTCCCAGTGCGATGATCGCGTACACACTCGTCTTAGGCTTCATCGGCCTGCTTGTTTTTAATTACACCTGGAACCTCGCCAAGAATATTCGCAAAGCACAGCGCTCCAAGCTTCCTTATGTTGTGCCCCCGTATAATGTCAGCATCATATTTATGATATTCTTCGGCTGGCTTCTCCCGTTGCTTGCAGAATATTGTCTTCCCCGATGGGTTGGGGATATCCTGTACGATAATGTTGGCACCTATCGCTGGATAGTTAGAGATCGCCAAGTGAAGAGGTACGGGAAGCTTTACATGCTAGTCAATCCTGACGCCGTTTTCTTGAATGTCGCGGATGCTTCTGTGGTCTCTCAGATCGTCAACGCACGACAGGACTTTCCAAAGCCAGTCAGGCTATATAGTGGGTCTCCCTAACAATTGTCAGTTGTGCAACTTCGAATGCTAATGCTATCATAGAAATCCTGGATATGTATGGGCCTAATGTTGTCACGGTGAGTTCATCCTCATGAAAATACCAAGTGAGGTCCTGGAACTGACCTGTCTAGTGTGAGGACAAAGAATGGTCTCACCACCGTCGATACACAGCAACAACGTTCCACGAAAAGAATAACGCCCTGGTATGGGTGGAGTCTATTCAGCAAACGCAGGATATGATCGAGCAATGGGCGGAAGCTTCTCCGCTAGATTCAACTCGTGGACCGGGATTCACGGCGGAATGTACTAGAGACGACATCCACAAGCTTACTCTGAACGTGCTGTCTGGCGCTGGGTTTGGAGTAAAAGCGCCCTTTAAGCCACTACCCCAGGACTTGCTCAAGGACAAGGAGGACATTTTCAGGGACAGTCCCACCCCACCAGCAGGTTTCGACTTCACGTTCGGAGCAGTAGTGGCTTACATGAATGTGAACATCCCCACCATGGCACTGGCGAACAATATGTTACCTAAGTGGATTCCGAGGGTGTTGGTTCCTTTCTTCAAGCAGGACTTCGCAGCTCACCGAGATCTAGACAAGTATTTACAGAGATTGATTACTACCACAGAGTCTAGATTAAGCGGAGAAGAAAGCCCCTCGAATCTTATTGAAGGCATGTTAATCTCCAGGAAGCCTGGAGACAGCAAGGACGCAGGTCTTTCCGACCGAGAAATCATCAGCAACATGCATTTATTTACCATTGCTGGGCATGAAACGACAGCAACAACTCTGAGGTTTGCTTTTGTACTGCTTGCCCTGCATCAAAATGTACAAGATTGGGTATATAACGGCATATCCGAGGCTGTCAAAGATGAACCACCAAGTATTGGGGACTGGAACTATGATGAAGTTTTCCCCAAGCTTGTCACCCCTCTTTGCGTGATGGTACGCTGAAGATCCCCTTTACTGTAACTGGTGGTAAGCTAACTGCGATTTAGCTCGAGACGATGCGCCTCTACCCTCCGGTCATCACCATACCAAAATGTACAGGGGACTCCCCGAGCGTCATTCACTACGAAGGTAAAGACTATGTTTTGGAACCCAATACCGACATCAACTTGAATACGGGCAGCCTTCACTATTCGGAAGAATACTGGGGGGACGATGTCACCCTCTATCGACCGCAGAGGTGGGATGCGCGCAATAAGGACAGTTTCTTGGCCGGAAATGCCGATTTACCTGGACTTGCTGGCCCTGGGTTGGAATATCCGACTATCCATAAGCCCGTTAGAGGTGCCTACATTCCATTCAGCGACGGGTTCCGCGCTTGCTTGGGAAAGAAGTTCTCGCAGGTCGAATTCGTCGCTGCGCTTACGACAGTCCTCCAACAGTACCGAATTGAGTTGGCCGACAGCAGTGAAAAGGGCAGACTGAATGCTGAAAGAGTACTGAATAAAAGCACCACGGTTATTACCCTGGCTATGAGGGAGGAAGTACCGCTGCTTTTCCGAAGGAGATGAGTTCTTGGAGAAACTGATGCGTGATGGCGGATTGGCTGGCATAATGCAGGATGACACTAATGAATGCCCAAATAGCCAAAACAAAGCCAGACAGAGTAGGAAGTATATAAAGAATGTAGCAACTGACAATGGAGTAACCCCAAGCTTAGTGCTCGTTGAAAGTCTTTGTGATGTAGGTGCTTTGTTAATCTTCTATATGGAGCTGGTGTGTTTGAGGCGGGTTTGTCTGTCCGGCACCAAAGAAAGGCTGTTTACTTCTGCACACACGCCGAGATACTCCACTCTTAGCATCAGTGAATGGCTTCCTGGCTGCAGCAATATGTGTTCGTCCGCTTCTCACCGTTGCTTTCTCACTTTCTCTACCCTTCACCACTCCTCACCTGATCTTGCTCGGCGCTTCTCGGCGCAGCAACCATCTGTTCAACTGAGGTCTTCCCCATCACATCTCCACTGCTGGTGGACACCAACAGACCCAGGATGGAGAACTACCCGGATCACTGGAAGGCTACTCTCCTCGGAGAGGAGTTCTGGAAAGACGCTGAAGCTTACAACCAGCCCATTCAGGACCGTATCGAAGCAGGTGAGTATTGAACCTCCCCTCTTCTCTCTGTCTACAGTCTTCATCCCCTCACCATCTAACTAATACTATTGTAGATCAAGACAAGCCTCTGCACGAAAGATTCCCATTCAACCAAGAACATGAGCGAAACTCCCATGCCCCTGTTGCCAGCAGCGCCGGCACAGACAAACGCAGAAGCCGTCGGTTCAGTATGAACGATGCGGCATTCACTGGCACTCCCCTAGCAACAGCTCGTGTTGCTGAGCTCTCCAGACGCCCTCGTTCGCAATCCCGCACGCGCTCTCAATCCCAAGTCCGAGGGTCCAGCGTCGCGTCCAGCCGTTCGAGCTCGCTCATCCGCTCCGCCCTGTACAGAATGGCTAACTTGATGCGGGAGGAGTCTGAAGATGAGACCGAGGTGGGATCAGTCCAGCTCCTATCTGCAGATGAAGCCACCCCGGAGAAGCCTCTCTTGGAGTTCCGCGGCGGCGAGACCTGGGAGCGTCTTACTGATGACCGTCATTCGCTCGGACTTGACGTGTTCTGGCCTCAGGAATTGGACGATAAGGAGAACATCAGTGAAATTGACAATAAAACCGACAGCAAAACCGAGCCGGCACTCATCATGCTTGATCTTGAGCAGATGTCTCCTCTTTGTCTATTTCGCAACCTCCGCAGCCTGAAGATCACTGGCATGATGCAGTCATACCAGAAATATATCTGGCAGGCTGCCTGGTTGAACATTGACCTTGAGGAACTGGAGCTTGGCATGGCCTTGCATCCCCGCATCCGCAAGAGCAAGACTGGCGATTGGCCCTTCATTAAGGGAGGTTGGAAGCTCAACAAGGCTCACTATGCGGAACCAGTTTACTTGTAAGCATCCCAGTCACCTCTCATCTCGTCTTAGTTACTAACAGCAAACCCATCACCAGCGGCGACGGCACTGGCGCACTCGACCACAAACTCGGCCAAGCCGAATACCTCGACAAGATGGTCATCGAGAAGGCCAAAGTGCGCGCCATGTCTGTGGGCCGCACTCGTCAGAAGCTATCTATCCGCACACTGACTCTCTTTGGATTCATCGTCGACGCGGATCCGTTCCTGCATTGGTTTGACGCTAAGAGACTGCAGAGACTCCATTTCAAGGACTACTGCGTGGACGCCGGCTTCTGGCTCTGCAAGCCAATGAAGAATGTGGAGGTGGATTTTCCGCGCCAGATGCAGGAAAAGGTGAGTACTGCCAGACGGGTTGATCTGTCGTCTGAGCTGAAGGTTGTTGAATTGAAGGGCGGCAAGAAGATCAGTGAGAAGAAGTATACCGGTCCGGAGTCGCTTAGTGAGTTTACCTTGTCTTTTCTGGTTTTGGTGTGTGGCTGGTTTGTTGACGGTTTGCAGAATAGTGATCTGATTGATGATCTGGTACTTACTCGAGATCTCGATGAGAGATCAACCATGATTGAGATGATATTCGATTAATGATGCAGATTGATGTTCTTTATGTTCATGACTTTTAAAAGTCTGAATGGCTTGCCATTCTAGCGACAAGCATCACCACTATATGGGATGCAATTATTACCAGCCAACGAATAATGTGTCAAGAATGTATCAGGATTAGCCTAGGGAGAGATAATATGATAATATGTAATCCTCCAATTCCTTTTCCTTCTGCACATAGATAACAAGTACTAAGTTCACATCCACAAGTTATAGTTCCCTGCCAATAACAGATGGTGGTAAGAAAAGGCTGATGAAATCCAATTTGCCACCGTGCTTACTAAGACAGCACCGGTGGCTCAGTGGTAGAGCGTCGCACTCGTAATTGGTGGTATGCGAAGGTCGTGGGTTCAATCCCCATCCGGTGCAGATCTCTGTTTTGTTTTGTTTTGCTGATACCATATACTATCATTTCTTCCTGACGTTAGGTACATCCCTATATAATTGATGTTGATTTTTATGCTCCTTATTTAGGGAGGATGTTGTTGGTTTTCTACAGTTGGAAGATCACGAAAAACTATACCTGTTAAATATGTATGTAACACTCTGACCAAACCAGTAAGTATTCACTAACTTGTCACTTTACACCAGTACCGTGACATAGTGTAACTTACTATATGGTACCCTGAAGAAGAAAGAATGGATACTACCGTAAGTAATACAGTAACACGGATTAAAAGACATACGAGCCTGGGTGCTCCTTCCTCTCTCCTACTTGGTTACTTCTTACCTTACCCAGAGCTGTGGTCAGGAACTTCCTTCCACTTGACGCTTGTAACAAGTTTGCGGTCTTCTGATCATCCCTTGCCTCTCAAGCCATTCTTCTGCACCAAATGCCTGCCAACACGCTAAACAGTATATCGAATCGATATATTGTGTCAATCTGGAGAGCAGACGGGATACTATTTCCTATCATTATTCAAATGGTGATGGCTTCTCCAAGTGGCGAAAGGTATAGAACACACTTGCCATTCATGACCTCTTCTTCCCTCCTTCGCTTCTCAGAACCTGCTAGCTAACTTGAAAGAAAACAGGCTGGCCTTCTGGTTATTGATTACAACGCATTTTGGACTATATCAATAATACCAATCCCGCTCACGGGCCTGAGATTGACATAACAACCTATGCGTCTTCTCCTTCATTCCCACTCACGACTATGGATCAACCAAGATCCATCACAGCTTTTAGTAATATGGAGGAAGTTGCATACAAAGATGCCCTTTTTTGCCGCAATAACATCCTCGAACAGGAATCTCCTCCGTCATATACGGAACGCAAACCAGACTACGAGTTACCGTCTACATTGAAAGTACCTACAGAAGCCGAACACTCTTTCAGACATGCATACTTGAATAGAAATCGTGCTGTCAGTCAGGCTGCATATGGCTTTTGCCTGCCCTTCTTTTCATTACTTCAACCAGTGAATGACTCATTTGATTGTCGGAGTTGAACTCTAACGTATCAATGCAATGGAAACCCGGGCAGAGAGCACTCATGGCTCTCATGGGTTTGAGCCTTTATCTCCTTCAATGCGGTTGATTCCACTGATTGGTATGGGAAAATACATCTTGCATTTATGTACACTGATCAATGGTGTCACTCTTGCGAATCGGTAAGTTCATCGGTTGCTAATCGCTCATCGCACAATTTGTAACGCTCTTGCAGGTAACCGGGGAGCAACTCCCTGGAGCACCTTGAGGTGCGAGAGACAGTGCTACGACCTCTCAGTATACCAGACCCCGACATCGTCGTTGGCTATAACTGGAAATCGATATGTGGAAATTATAAACTTGCTTTCGATGAGTTGCCAGACAGTCTCAAGTTCGCGTTCCCTATAGTCGTGGATGGACATTTTGCTTTTCCCTTCTTTTCGGTCGAGATGAGAATCGACGCAGGGCAAAGGCTTTCTCCGGAACCTCCATTTGGCCGCCTTAATGCTTGGAGGTCTGCGATACTTCTACCAAAAGGCCTACGGAAGAAAACGACGAAGCCGACAAGTTCGACGGGAAGGTATGAGTGCGTATGGCTACGATCAGTCGCAGCGATGTGAACGTATTCGGACACTGGACGAACAGCGACCCAGGAGATCCGAACGTTACTCACGAGCACTTTCTTATTAAAAAGTGGCACTTCGAAGAAATGAAAGAGTTATTTGTGGCACGACATGGTTCAGAGACACTCTACAAGTGGATGATGAAAGAAAACCGCAAGTGGATTGCTTCTGGCTTGCAAGAATTGGCCAAGGCTTGATGTGATGTTTCGAACATTATGCTGGGCACTTGGATTAGATATTTGTCCGCTCGCTCTCGCTTGCTCTCTCTCTCTCTCTCTGTGGATATGTGTGGTGTGTTTAAAACTTATATGAGACTATCAATAATAGCCAATCGTTCGCTGAGAGGTGCCCTTGCCAAGTACATAGCATGCTAGGAAGTAAAACTATCCGCACAAAACATAAATCGGTCTCAAGTATGATACGATAGTAGCAGACGATACCCAATAACAGAAGACTGCAGCTACACCTACATGATAAGATGTTGGCCCTTTAACCGCTCTGTAGAAAGCCTTCGATGTTTGTGTTCCACCGGAACAAGCGATCTAGGAGCTGCATTGCCTCATAATACGAGTAATAACCATATAAACATAGCGTATCTTGCATGTAAGCATGGCTTTTGTAAATAAAAGAGCTACTAATCAACGCTGGTCCAGTTTGGGAAGACGATGACTGTGCTAGACCACAGTACCTAGTTTATCCTAAAGCAATCAGAGCTCCCATCTCGAAATATTGTAGATGAACAAGCATCAATCTTTCGATTTGAAAGAGCAGAGACAAGGCTCCCCCTTGCTTCTTCAATCTAGTTAACCCCCGGATTCACCCAGCCCGCCACATACTCACCCGACAGGAGAAAATTCACATATCGCCTTTACTGCAGCGTTGAATTTGCAGGGGATATTTGGAATAGAAACTGGAACTGTATAGGGCTAGCTGGGAATTAGTTTCAATTACCCGTGCTTTATTACCTACAACCCGTCCTCATTCATTTCCAAACGCTGTGGGATTCACGGCATATTCCGTAAATTTCACTGCATCTTCCCGTCTTCCATGGATATAAAAGGATGGAAGTTTCCCTACTAGATCTTTCCTCCTTCCTACACTCTTCTCTATCTTTTCTATAAGTATTTTTCAAGAAGAAAATCTTTATATTAATAGCCATCAAGACCATTGAGATGTCTCATCTACCGAACAACCTATGACATCTACTACGATGGCCAACTGTATGCTATGACGCACCATCTCATCGAGATAATATGTCCACATGTCGATATCAAAGCCAGATATCTCAAACCATCAGACTCACTGTGGACATAGATCGACCAAACAGTTTCACGGCAACCACACGATAATCAAAGAATTATCAGCAGAGCGGCTTACGAACCGCGCCTCTTGAATACAGTTGCCATCAATTACTTCAGCCCACGGACAATTTCCCACTCCTTCATGCCATGGCACGAGAGTCTCACATGGAACTGCTGGGACAACGGAATACGCTGGGCCCTACAGACGGCACTACTCCGCGCCGACCTGATGAAGGGCATCTGCCGCAACTGCCCACCTTCGTTGGGCAGGACAGCGGCACTGAACTGAGGCCCCGTCTATTCTACGAGCCCTGTTGGGCATGCGAGGCGAAGGGAACCCACATTTGTATGTGCATGGCGATACCTGATGCCGATTTCCCTGCACTCAATCTAGCCAATCGAGGAAGTGCTCTTGAATATGCACCCAATGATCCATTATTGTTGCCTCTCCAAGCCATGCTGACGAAGGATCCAGCTATCAGGGAGGTAACATGCCGTCTAGCAATTGCATCCCTCCAGAGAGTGGTGTCAGACACTACGACAGCCGAGAATTGCTCTTTCTATTCGAAGAGAGCTCGAAGCCTTTGACGGACTGGGCGGCAAATACAACATCTCAGTACAACTTCATCGAATCAGCAATATATCGGCGAGTGCAGACAGTTTCGCGAGGAAGTATAAGCTGACTGGCAATACTATCTACAGACAGAGACTGAGAGTACTGGGAAAAGCTATTCAAGACACAGGGGATTTAATCTGGGGTCTACGAATACCATAGAAACTAAGCGATGCAAACTAATCCTAAGAACATGCAGCCTGGGTCCTCAACAAAGTCTTAAGTCCAACTCTTTCCGTCCAGTACTCTTATTACATTCATTCTCTTGCCCTACTTCTACCGGCACAATGTCCAATAATATACTGAGTGATATACCTGTTGCCGTTACTCTTCTACCACCATGACCACCACTACGACGGGCAATTCCTCCGGCACGACATACATAGGTATCCACTGTCCATACCGCAACACGGAAACAAACAGTATAATTGCCACGCATATATTGAACCCGAATTTGTCTTTTCCACAAAATGGACAATCATGTACTGAAGATCGATGGACATGCTGAAACCGTTCGACCTAGCGGATGAATCAACCAGCAATCATTCTGGCAGTGGCTAGCGACCCCAACAGAAGTCGGGAATCGATCCCCCAAACTTTCGTGGAATCCTAGTCAACAAAATCACCAAAGTCTAAGTTGGATACCTTCTCCAATAATCCTTGCTTAGAGACCCATGCATACGACACACTCCATCTAATGCACCAGATGTGCGTCTCTTCCTACTATATCATTGGGCAGATCTTCGATGAATTTTGCCAGACCTAGTGCCGAACATGCCCAAACTTTGGGCCATTTCTCTATCTTCCAACCATGCAGAGATGTTGTTACGAATGCAACATGTACAATAAATAATACGGATTAGGCTGTGTGTCGAATATCTGCTACTACTTTGGCCTATGTACAGAAGCCTTACCGACGTCCCTCTTAAATAAAATATTCGGCTGCGTGAGCTCTGGAACTGCATGACAAGCATCGATAAGGATATTATCACAGTATGCCTTCCTGGTTTAGGATACCCTGAGCATTGCTCTTGTCTCCTTTATGTTTGGGATGAACCTATATATAACATAGATACGGCGCGACGACACTTCAAAGTGTAAAAAACGTTCCAGAAATCTTCGAATATGTCGATAATGAGAGTGCCACAGCAATATACAACACGTTTGAAAACAAGGAAGTTATCAAATCGGACTGGCAGCTGGGGAAGTCTATCACTTGCTGTGGACTTTTATGACAGTTTCGAAGTCATCGCCTGAAATGAATTCTGGTGTGGTCCTAGGGCCACGGAATGAGTGCTGGAGGAATACAGCAGTCTCCTTGTGAGTGTTTCTTTTTGGCGTATCAAAACCCAGCAGTCCATGCTCATACGGATTTTTCTGATACTGACCTCTACTCACAGTGAATCCTCTCTGCTGCCACTGTGATTGGAGTTACATCGATACCATCAGTTTAGTACTCCACGGCATTGCCAACCGGATACACTCAAACTTGAAGATTGGGTCCTAGAGGCTCATGATAAAGAATGTAAAGACGAACTGGAATTCAAGATATACTTGATCGGCTCATGGCTGCCAACTGCGACATTGGTGAGGATCCCGAAACATGGGAATAGGTTTGGTGTTCAAACTCCACTAGGAAATACAAGCGGGAGTTCCAATAACCTCCCGCAGGGTCCATGAAGCGGACTAGCGGCGTGCCGTCGGTCATTTTCTCCACGTCCTCTTGACGTACCAAACTGAGGGCTGTCGCAAATGAGAAACGGCAGGCTTCATTCTGGCTCCGGTCTCCGCATGTTCTTTTAAATGACATGCACAACATTTCAGCTTTACCTACCGAAAGAGCATCTTGCTCAGCACTTGAGCGTACACTGTTTACCACATCGCGGTAGTCCAAACGGTGCTCTTTGGACAGTTGATGAACCGCTATTGACGATCGAGGAAAGAATATCTTTTGCATACCATGCCAAACAGCACAAACGCAGAGTTGACCTTTATGATACACAAGATATGCTGACTCTATACAACAAGGTCGTTGGAGATACTTGGGCCGTGACGATCAAGGCATGAAAAGAATGTGCTTTGATGCTTGATGTGCCGTGGCCTATTGACTAAGCCAGAAGGATCCCAACAGCATCAATATCAGCAGGCTCTTAGCAAGTCTCTACTATTTCAAGTGCGAGAAACCAGGCACGAATACCCGTTATGCCTTTTTTTCTACTACTAATGGGCCAGCTCACTGGCACTGCTGGCCGAGGAGGCGGCCGAGGAGGAAGAGGGCGAGGACGCATCGTATGTATCAAAGCTATTAATCATTGTTATTATAGGCTGTACAAGTTATTAAGGGAACTATGCAGCGCAAGCGAAACGTATGCAGGACCTGCGGACGCCGTGGGCACTCCGCCCAGGAATGTTTTATCATTCGCAGTCTCGAAGTTTTGATAAGTTTCCTCTATTGGGAATCTCAGTACATCCGTCTAGAATGGGGCCAGGAAATTCAAGCATGAATGTTACTGGGCCCCTGCCGGCGTTTTCTCTCTTATGGACAGACCGGGACTCTTTGAGGCAGTCAGAGCCAAAGCCATTGCTGGTCTTGTTGGTGGTGTTCTCTGCTCGGTTTATCACAATCCTCCTAAATAAATCGGGCAGCTTCATCATATATCTTTTTTTGGTATCAGCATCCAAAGGCCTTGGAAATTCTTCAGACGTGCATTCTGTGTCAGAATACACTGGGCCTAGGACCTGGAGAAAAACAGCAGGAGGATTTGGTCGCCTGTTGCGATGAGATATGTACTAACTACTCATTGTGAAGCAAATGAACATGTCTTCATCTAAGGAGCAACCGTTATAGTGGATCATGGCTCCCAGTATTTTGTGAAGAAGCTTACTATGAGGAGATTTGTCCCCTCAGACACTCTCTTGCTAAGTACTTGAGACTTGCAGTGGCATGATGAACGCAATATACCAAGATGCGAGTCTTTTCCTGCGAGATTGATTGTGGTCCTCCACCTATAAACACACATGGCAATTCTGAAATTGGCCCGGGGCATTCAAGCCATTTTATACTACGCATACAAAGGAGGTATAAGGGGCAAATAGCAGGCTGCATAAAAATACACTGCGCCCAGCATCCGAGACGATTCCTACTACTGCGGAGGCCGCTTTGCAAATGAAATCGGTTAATTAACTGACAATCAACACGCACTCAGTACATCGGAATACAAAAGCGAGCTGGAGATTGCCTGAGACTCGTTTCACACAGCATTTAATCATCGGCAACAAGTTTCTCCAGTCATTGACAGTCTCATCTTCGACGACCGATAGGCCGTGATATTGCAAAACTCTTGCAACTATCGCCCCTTTCCGGATGTACACGAAGTGGCGATGTTATCAATCTCATCGCCTGCGGAAGAGATACAATAGCCACTGTCAGCTTTATTACTACGATCTTCCAAGCACGGCGTGTGGTCTGCCTCCAAGGAGTATAGCATTTGTTACCCACCTATCTCCAGAAAGAAAACCTCGAATAGAACTAATACAACTTAGCAAAGACGCTAGACAGATCAGGAACATCCAGAAAGCAAAACAAGGACTAGGATTTTTAACCGAACAGAGGCTGATGTTAATTTGGGATACTATCCAACCCGTCCGAGGGGACTTTGGCTAAGTCCAGCCTCGCCAGAAGTATGAAGCTGCTAGGGGTATATGACTCTACCTCCAAGTCTTTTCAGGCGGACTGCATCTTGATGGTGAGTACAAGCAGTGACTACCAAGTTCATCTTCCGGGCCACATAGGGTCTGGGCTAGTATGCCAAGATCACTTAGGGCAGGTCGTCAAAATGGTGCAACAATACGCAAGAACTGTCGGTGGTCGTTCCTCATATTTCAAAGGCTCTGGACAATTTGGATGCTACTCCCGTAGTAGTAAGTCCGCGGACCAAAGGGTATATCTTTGGAATAGCAGAGCTCGTGGCATGGGTGATTCCTCGGTTCTGCACCGGCCTCTACATGTCCGGTTTGTTGGTCTCCTAAGAAATACACTGGTGATCCAACCATTATAAATCCCCCGGTCAGGGTTATAGGGGCTGTCGGGTCGCGAGCGGCGCTGGATAGCGCTGCTGTGTCTTGCGCGATCGATACTTAGTCTAATATAATACACAGTCCAGTCCGGAACTCGACACAACTACGCGAGGCTATACTCGTGACTCGACTTGGTCGGCTTTTACCTCGCAACCAAATGTCCGGAACATGTGCCATGGCCAGGGAAAGTAAAGGCCCATATGATTCTTTCAGATAGGGACTTGTTCGAGGAAATGACAGCGAAGAATAAGGCGGCCACAGAAATAACAGCTATCAGCTTTGGACTAAATCTGGAACAGTGTCTTTTGGAGGATCCATCTTGGAATATAGGAGGCAAGTCAACTTCCATCGTGCTTGGATAATGGTAGACAGTGAACCCAATTGGATGTTTCTTCCCTAAGCGAGAACAGGGTAACCTCCACTTTCGTGGAGGAGATCCCACACGTGGTGCCTTCCGCTGGCCGCTGGAATAACTGGGTCCAACAGATCCCAGAATATGATGAGATAATATAGGGTTAAGAGCCGTCAGTTCTCCGAAGAACTTGCCAGGGACGAGATGCAAGGAGAATCCTTAGCAATCTTCTACATGCCTCGTTTCGGAGAAACGAATCCCATCGAAATGACGGAAATAGGCTGTGGGTTTTGCCATTTGATCCCTGTGAACTGTCGCAATAAAATGGCGGTTACAGCGGAAAGGATGTGACAATTGTCACTCCTTACATGGCACAGGTAGTACGTTATCGGCAGACCCTTTTCGCGCTCTCCAAGCGAGGCGGTCTCTCAAAGGCAGAGCCCCCGAAAGTTTCGACTACGGATTCAATGCAAGGCAAGGAGTCGAAAGTCATCACAAACGACTGGGTGATCACTTCTGCAGATGCTTTTTCGGACATGGGATTTACCATCGACAGTAACCGTGGAAACGTTGGTATGAGCAGAATGACAGAAGTCATGCTCAATATCCTTCCTGCGCGCGTGGGATCCGATGCAAAGAGCATGCCTCACAGCCCGCAGCGCAACCATTTGGGCGACAAGATTATCTCGGACGTTCCCTAACCCTGCGCCGTTGTTCAGTGGTACTCGAGTGAAAAGAGTATCATTACCTGCATGTGTAAGTTCTGAATTCCCGTTCGGCTTTCGCCCACTATACTGATATACTGTAGGTCCGACCGAAGAGCAGCTCTTCGAAGGAATCAGCTTTGCAGAGAAAGAAAACTGCGTGCGTTCAGGGAGCTGGATTTACTAAAGACGCGGCATGGCTACTGACATACGCACTATCAATAGCTGTGCTATACATGAGATCGACTTTGATGGGCCTTTGAACATATGGCCTATCCAAAAATACCGTTGCGGCTGAACAAGGAGAAGATGGTGTCTAACAAATACTTATCCAGCACATTGGACAGGCTATGGGGAAGGGGGTGTCGTTTGCTCCCAGTTGATCGATGTAAAATTCGGCGATTTTAAGTCGTCCATGTATCCCTACGGGTATCGCAAGGTACCCGATATTATCATTGTGGCCTTATAGCTTACTTCTACGCGTGAGGAATGCGTTCAATGCCCTGTCTACATGGTGGAGCACCCGAAAGACAATTACACTTGCCCAAAACTGCATATTGTGAACGTCTCCTGAATGAAGGTTCACCCTCTGAAGCTGGAGCCTTTTGATGATCTCTACCACTACAAGGGCCTGGAGAAATGGACTAGCGGCATGGTCTGTTGTTCAAAAGACCTGGGATAGAGAGTAGTATCTGGTGCCAGAAGACTAGATAGAATCCTCCGACAAAGGACGAGCAGATGGTCGTTCCTTATGGATACATGATAGATACGTGCATAGAGCAGAAGGTGTGTATCCTTACATACTATCAAAAGAACCGACAGGAATGTCTAACACGATGCTGCAGAAGTGAAAGCCTGTCGTTATAGGTACAATATGGATATCAGGATAACAAGATCATTCATATGCCGATTTGGGCTCTAATTATACTAGCCACCGCGTACCCAACACTCAGATGAGAACGCTTGTGCAGAATTGGTGATAAAGGACAGCACACAAAGACAACCTATTCGCAGCGGACGCAAAGAGACTATTGTGCGCCCGAAAAAGACATTGGAAGTTTATTCCTTGCGCCAGACGTGACCTGTAATGTCTACCCTAGCTAGCATTCGTACTTACGTGCGCGAGTGTGGGCTGCTCAAATCTGCTGAGAGACTGCCATCCTGCCCCGATGGCAACCTTCGCTGTGTGGTCACTGCCGGCCGCACTAAGTGCGGTCGATGCTCGGCCAGCCGCCACCTTTCGATGCTATCTCTTGTTTGACGTCTGATCTGTTGGAGATCGTTCAGGAAACAATGGTGGAGGTCTCATCGCTCTGCGCAGCCAGAGTAGCATCTACATTTCCTGACCTCATGACGCTATGATCATTGTCAGTGTGGTTATAGACAAGCCGGCGTTGTTCGACCCCTTCGACGTTGCATCCTCTCCCAGATCTGAAATCCAGCGACCTGATACACAGCTAGAAGCTGCTCTCGTTTGGTACCCAACTGAAGAAAGAATAGGAACAGGTGTACCAGTACAATAAACCACAAAGATGAGATAAGACCAACGTCCCTACATATTATCGACAACCTATAAGGGGTTTATGGGCATGGAACTAGACCAAGAGTCTTTGTGCAGGTTAGCAGAACTACCAACCTAAGCTTATAAACACTACATCGGGGGTATATTCCACATCCTATGGGGCATATGAGGTACCTACTGAGTTCATGGACGCCTTCGACGCCGTTGGAAAAGAATAGTAATATTTCATCCCGGACCCTTTGTAACACGAAAAACATACCAAAGGCAAATCTAATGCGAAACTAAGCCGCTATGGAAGTTCGACGGCTTATTGTCGGGCGAAGTCAGAGACAGACGTTATCATGGACGGGGTAATCTGCAGTCGACAAAATTACCACCTTAAGGGACGCTCTCGTTACTAAAAAGGTTCTGCTTCTGAATAATGACTACAGTTTCATGTCCACATATAACCGCACAATCCAGATAACTGATAGATCCATCACCTGCTGAACTACATAAGCGCAACTGAAGCAGTATGTTCATCTATGGCCCGGATATTTCATGACGCTGTTTCGCTGACGATCTGGCTAGGCTGAGTGAGTATCATAGACTGCACGCTTGGTTTAGATGTCACGGCCGACGGAATAGCCTCGTTACAGATCCCTTTGGCGGACGGACACATAGAAGCGGAAGCACTGGTGCCCGAACGCCTTCCAACCGGCATCCTAATCGGAACTGACGCCTGCAATGCGAATAGCATCGTTATTGACTTTCCTAAATCGCGTATCCGATTTCGTGGTGTTCACTCTGTACCATTCGAGTCCACACGAGGGACGTGCTCCGTGTCGAAGAAGAAGCGTGCAGTTTACACTGGCCGAAGCGTAGTGGTGCAACCCGGCACAGGTTGTTTCCTCCCAGTAACGTATTCGAACCAGGACATGCTATATCTAATAATCTAAGAAGAACGAAGAAGAAGAACGTTGTCAATTCAGTTATGGTATCAGATGCTTCCTAAATACCTCTTAATGGAAGAAACATGCTATCGGAAGATGATGTTCGTGACGTCTTCTCTAGGAAGGCACGGTGCACTATACCTGCAGGGTCAGACTGATTAACTTCGCCTTTTTGTGCTTGGTGAATTATCCTGCTCACATCTAGAGGGACAGATGGGCTCTAACTGATATTCCACGCATTTTACATGAAAATTATGGCGAGATATAGAGTACGGCTGCTTGTATTATTGATGTATAGAAAGTAGAAAAATGAGAGGTTAGACAGATATAGTTTCGTTCTCCTACTTTCGCTCATGATAGTAGCATAATAATATAACATTGTGGCAATTCCATCCAGTTAGCTGTAGTGGTACGCTGATGGCATCTCACCTTGCTAGTTTGTTCCATCAGGACTGGGCCACAGATCAGGTGACTACCTGACTACCTTGGTGGTTTGGCAAATCCCCGTTTGGACTAGACAGGGGTCAAGAACTAGGAATAATCCCTGTTGTTTTGTTTATTGATCAGATGACGAGAATGATGATGGTGGTGGTAGCTGCAAGGTAGTACAGGAGGCCCACCAGATGGACGAAGGGGATTATGTTTCAAGGAGTAACTACTGTTACGAGTTATCTTGTTCTATAAACAAGGGTAGAAATCAAGTTTATTTGTTATGACATTCTGATCTTGTAGATACGTTCCTGAACTAAACTAGAACTCAAAGTAAACCAACTACACCATACAAGAGCACATGTGCGTTACAGGCAGCTCGATATCCAAACGCCCAATTTCGTCCTAACTGGAAACAGGAAGACAACTATACACAATGTGCAATCAATAGACAGTGATCCTGTAGAAAGAAGTAGGGTTGATTATATCCTTCAGAAAGATAATTGCCATCACGCGTAACCGAAACTTTTCCACTTCGTGGTATTCGGGGCATATTAGTGTCATACTGGCTTCATATGATGCTGAAAGTGTCATGTCATATCATGTCGTGATCATTAAAGAGTGTACGTATGGTAGTGAGATGATGAAAGGAGGGTTATATGTAAGTCCTGTAGCGACTGGCACATTGATTGGCGAACCAAGGTAATGTATTACCGAAGACGCGCCACCCATGTAATCTTGAGGCACCTGAGAACCGAGTGGGTTGTTTATGCCCCGTCCTCTTCGCTGATGCGAATGGCCCCCTCGTTACCCAGACCGTGGGACCAGAATCCGTCAACGTTGAGGGTACTAATATAGCAGTTAGTTTGGTGCTAGGTTTCAGAGTGATCAGCAGTTGACACGTACATTCCAGGAGCGCCGTCGTGTGCAATAAGCAGCCAGTATCCGAGAATACCCTGCGAGAAGATATCGTAGATAGCGAAGAGGATAGTCTCGACATCAACGTTGATCTTCAGAGCCAAAGCTCCCGCAGCGAGGGCACTAGTCCATGTCAGTATACCGTTAACGCATCTTGAGCTGAGGGAAACTTACACTGGGTATAGGAGCTTGACAAACAACATGACACCCGATAGAGTTCCGAAGAACCGCTTGGTCTGGACATCCTTGTTGCTTGCTGCCCGGCTTCCATGGACACTGATATGGTAAACCGTCGTCAGATAGCCGATTGCGCTGATAGTGAACCAGACCCATCTGCGCGAGGAATGGCCAGCATAGGTACCCAGAATACCCGAGCCCAGCATGATAAAGTCGGCCGCGATGGCGATGAGCAGGTGAGCTCCGGGCAGACCGGAAAGCAGCGACAAGCTGATAAGGCCCAAAGGCTCAGTCAAGAACCAGAGGACATAGCGGAGCCAGAGGATCTGGCGGTAGTATTCCTGCGTGGTGTTGGGGACGTGCTTGTTGTGCTCCTTGAGGATGTCGAGCTTCCAATCCATGCCTTGTCCAGTCGCCAGAGCAAGGTAGACAATAAAGGAGATGGTGCTGGCGAGAGCAACAATAACATGGAACACACGTTTATTCTAACCAGACTGAGAGTTAGTTGCTTATCTTGTAATATCATCACGATAGCTTGAGAACATACGATAGGAACCCGAGCACCTAGAACGTAGAACACGAGAGAGGAGATACCCATGAGCACAGTGACCACCCTGTGTAACTCAAGATTAGCTATAGTCGTCACATCTCCGTCCACAACGGTCTTACCATAGTGTCCGTTTCCCAGTGTCATGGAGCACCTGGAAGATAGGATCACTGCCGGGAACGACGGTGGGAATGGGCGCCACCGACGAGGTGGGCGATGGCTCAGGCCAAGGGAGAGTTGGAGTCGCCTTGATGAAGGACTCGATCATGTTGATGGATTTCAACAGAACTATCGACACTGATGATGGTTGTAGAGACGGTCCGATGCGATAAGGATATTGCGGGGGAAAGGAGCGTATATGAGGGGGATCGACTGGGTATTTAACGGGAACCGGGAGAGCCGAGATGCAGGCTGGCCATGATCCAGTGAAGAAAAGAGGAGCAACGATGTGGGATTCTCCGTTCCCCAGCGACCAGCGTCATGCTGACCTCGATGTTGTCGTCATTGAGATTCGAGAGCGACGGAGAACCAATCAAGGCGGATGCGACCGCGGGCTTGATGGGGAACCGTGTAACCGGGGGGGATTTGGTGCCGTGTCCATGTTTGTCTGGAACTTGGAAAGCTGGCTGGTCAGCAGTGGTTGCATGATACGAATGCGTCTCCGCTTGGGTGAAGATGGGGAAGATGGGAAGATGGAATGGAAGATGGGAAGCTCCACTGAGACGTTGCCCTCCCCGCGGCATGACGCCATCCCTAACTCGGGCATGACTCAGCTACAAGGTACGGTTGCATCCACCTACAATGTTAGTCAATTTAGTGATAATAAACATGTTCATCATTCAAAAACAGTATAATACTATTGTAAATGCAATGTAGGTGACTAACTAAAGAGAGAAGAAAGAAGGTACAAAGAAGAAGACAGCTACTACTCCATAGTGACTTAGTGACTCGTGTACAGTCCCCAGTTAAACATGGTACTTCCTTGGTCTCCACGAAAGTCACCAAATCATGTATCAGACGAGGTGGTTTACACAATACTTACTTTACATCCATTGGTTTCAAGTTATGGCGTCAAATAGAAGCGGTCCCGTGATATGCATAGTTAGGGTCCAGCAAGGTCGAGCTTAGCGTGTATCATGCCTTTGCCTTCCCATTCCGATCTCACAGCTTCCACACAATCCCCGTTACTGCCACATCCTCATGCCACACCAACTCCCCCCTTGATCTTGACAGTCTTCTTAAATCTGATATGCTAGTATGATTGTTTTGACTCTCCGATCCCTTTACAAACAGACATCTCCGCTGTCTCCATTTGCACCGGGCTTAAACCCCAGCTCTCATGATTCTCCTCGGTTTTCTTCGAGGCCACTTTTTCCTGATAGCACCATCCTGAGGGAAAGACACCGCCGTGGCTCCTGGTCCGATGATTCGGAACTCCACGCCCGACGCACCGAACCTTCCCTGTAATTCCAGTAGACGGGCATTGATGATCGGGTCTGCTTCCATCATTCGATAGTTGGACCAATGACCCAGGGTACACTTTATACATCCTTGGCCGGGTGCTTGCTCTCTGACGGCGTACCGAAGATAGAGCGTCTTGAGCACAGGGACGGTCTCCGAAAGGTGTACCACCAGGTTTTCGAGTTCACAGCACAAGGCCCGCGAGGACTGGACCAAGCAATCATCAATATAGAGATGTTGCAGCGAGCGTGGAAGCACCTCCCGAAGAGGTATGCTAGGGTTGTAGGACCCTTTCCCGACAAATGGCAGCAAGTTACCCCACCGTATATGGACAGTTTGGAGATTAGGGAATCCGGTCAACCTTCCGAAGAAGATAGGCGTTGGGTTTTCGGCATCCTGCTCAGTCAGGTCGCTCAGGAAAGTTAAATTCAAATGATGCAACGAAGATTGAGATTGTTGTAAAGGCTGGTACAGGTGCGAGTGATCCAGGTAATCGTGCGTATGATTATCCCCCCAGTCCCCCAATTCGAGGGTAAATGACTGTAGCTTTGGACACCTTTCCAGCAGACGAGAGAGATTAGGTAGGCCATCAGTGGATGCCAGGAGATCCAGATGGGTCAATGGGAGGACCGAGTCACTGGGCATGTCAAATTGAGTTCGATCACACGCGTTATGCACGTAAAGCTTTCGCAGCGATGGAATCCGGAGATAAGGGATCAGCCTCTTCAAGGGAATTGCGCCTTCAGTATGCCCCCATTCCAGCAGATTTGGACCGTCGGCCAACAAGACGTGCTTTAGGTGCGTTAGAATCCCCAGTCTTGGGTTACTTGCCCAATGAATAACCCGTTCAAAGTGGACGGAACACTTGACTAGCATATTTTGCTCCAGGATACAATACTGATCCCACTCTCCGGGTAATTCAATGACGAATCTCTCAAGATTCTTGACTTGCACCATGAGCAAGGCCAGCCAGGCATCTTCATATCGTTGGGCCTTAATCCAAATCTCGCGTTCTAGATCATCTTTGAGGTCTTGGCGCCACGCTCGGAATCTGCGGCGATATTTGCGCTTAGCATCTCCAAAGGGCAGCATAAATGGGAGGAATTTTTCTTCCCCAGGTGGCTTCAGCGGAGGTCGATGTTTCCACTTTTCCTCGCCATAGCTAGGGTAAAGCTCCAGGGAGCGGATCAAGGGAGCGAGGGTTGGATTCTCAAGCAGAGCTATTGTAAACCGACGCACAGGGAGATACTCGCTCCAACGGAAGTCACCATATTTGGCGTCAATATAATCGTTCAGGGGAAGCACGACATGTTGATATAGGTGGGGAATAAACAGGGAGTACCAATCCTTGCAAACCAGCACTAGTTGCGCATGATCCTGCCTCGTGAGGAGGGGAACAATTTGGAGAATAAGCTCACCGGGCAGGTCGTCGAGTCTCATCCTCGATGTGCGATGTGATCTTTGATACAAAGCTGATAACTGTGTAGCCTAGGAAGAGGATTTGACCACCTCGACCGGCGCTAGTCAAGGTTCTATCACCCAGCAAAACCCCTACATACACATAGACTAACTATACAGCAAACAGACTAGCGTCCCTTAGCCGATATTACATTCTCACTAGACAAAGACCGGCTGTTACTTGGTACGCTGGAATGGTCATCACATGGCGACATCCAGGCAATGGGATAGGCAGATAGTAGTAGTATCTTGGATGCGCTAAATTTGCTATCTGGTCTACTAATTACCTCAAGAGCAGGCCATATATTAAAGCCAGTGTCTCCCGGTGATAAGGAATAATTCTGGCGCGTCCATATCTGGGGATTAACAGCTTGGTCATCTCCTCATGACTTCGGCGAGTTATATCATTGATTTGGGTTGGCCCGATATATAATCCAAGGGTCTTGATCCGGCATTGCTCAGGCCACGCACTTTTATGTTTACACCACGCCTCAAGCTGTTCCGTGCCGCCAAGCGGACAGACAGTCGCTTGATCGATTTTCGCAGGGATCCTACCATGTACTACAGCCGCTAATGCTGGCGAGCCAGGGAAACCTAACCCAGATCTACTATATCCTATTTGTTACTATTATAATATACATGCAGCACTAGCTTGTGCGATTCATATGCTAACAAGGAACTGACCACTCAGCTCGATGCATCCAACTCCTGCACTACCTCCTCGCACCGCCCACACACCGTCTCTTCCGCCGCCTTTGTCTCGGGCACCACATACCGCCAACAGCGCGGACACTTGCTCGCCTGCGGGGTATACACATATACCGTGCCTGTGCCTCCTCTCGGCAGCTCGTACACCTCACTATACTGCCACTCCGCATTGCGGATGTCCTCCGGGATTGCCTCCTCGTGCGCCCCGAGGCTGACCGACGAGACAACAAACACATCAGGCAGTTCGGTCTGGAGGCGCGCGAAGACTGATTCGCTTGTAGCGTCCTTGGGAAGAACAATGTGGACGAACGATTGAAGGGAAGAGCCCATCTGCTTCTGACCACGGGCCCTTTCTTGAATCGCCTTGACGACCGAGTTCACGGCCACGATGTCCTGGTAGTCTGCTTCCAGAGCCTGATTCTGCCATTCGGAGGCGGGCGCGGAAACAATCCGTCTCAGCGGATGCTCGCAGTGGGTTTTGATGGCTTCGGGCGTGTGCTCCCAGGTCTCTTCTACCAACAACGGAGTGATCGGGGCAAGCACCTCTTGGAGGTAGTGATAGATGTGGAACAAAGTCGTCTGGGCGGCCCGTCTGCTGGTGCTGTTCTCGGCGTAGGTGTAAAGGCGGTCCTTGATAGCTTCCATATAGAATGCAGAGAACTCAAGATTAGCCCAGCGGTTAATGGCATTCACGGCCTTGTAGAATTCAAAGTTCTCGCAGGCCTTTTGGCAGGCCAAGACTGTGTCGGAGAGATGTTTCAACGCGATGCGATCCACCTGTTGCAGCTGGTCATAAGAAAGACGATCCTCCGGACGGAAGTCGGACAAGGCACCTAGCAACAACTTGAACGTCACACGGTACTTGTGCAGACTAGTATTGACCGTCTGGAGAACTTGCTTGCCAATCACAACATCCCGCGTGTAGTCGCTGCTTGCAACCCACATCCGCAGAGCATCCGGGCCAAGAGCGTCGTAGACCGGTGCCTGGTTCTCAGCCTGCTTCTTCCCCTTGCCTTTTCTCGGCTTGAGGGGCGGCAAGAGCGTGCCGTCCATGATCGAGTCCGGCTGGATAACGTTGCCGATTGACTTGCTCATCTTGCGTCCCTCCTCGTCCAGGGTGAACCCGTGAGTGACGAGGTTCTTGAACGGCGCGCGAGGGGAAGTAGTCTGTCCGGAGGCGAGTTGGTGGGCAATGAAGGTGAGAAGACCGGACTGGAACCATCCACGGTGTTGGTCGGTGCCCTCTAGGTAGACGTCTGCAGGATATCCACCGTCACGGTAAGGGAGGTCGATCTCGGTCCAGCTGGTGCCGCTGTCGAACCACACGTCCATGGTGTCAGTTCCGCGTCTGTAGCCGGGTCCAGAGGCATCTCGGAGAGCTGGTGGGATCCAAGCCTCGTCGTTGGCATCATCTGTCCACCATGCGTCAATGCCACGCTCCTCGATGACGTTCATAATGTGGGATACGCTGTCCTTGGTGAGCAAAGCATCGCCGGTGCCGCGGTGGTAGAGCGCCGGGATAGGGACACCCCAGGCGCGTTGACGCGAGATACACCATTCGCTGCGGTTCTTGACGAAGTTCTCCAGTCGTTGTCTTCCGGCGGTGGGCACGAAGTTGACATCTTCCAATGCAGTCATGGCGCTGCCACGGATGTCGGCTACGTCGGCAAACCATTGCTCTGTGGCGCGGATGATGATGGGAAGCTTCGACCGCCAGTCGTAAGGATACTTGTGCTCGTATCTGTGCTTGGTGATCAGCAGGCCTTGAGATTCGACGTATTCGAGAACTGCAGCGTTTCCATCACCCAGAACGCTCTTTCCACTGAGCCTCGTCGGGTCACTGGGCATGGCCTTGTCGGTGAATTTGCCGTTGTCGTCCACGGGAGCGAATGCGGGGATACCTCGGGATAAGCAGGCTTCGTAGTCCTCCATACCGTGGCCTGGGGCGCAATGAACAAGACCGGACCCAGAGTCAGCGGTGACAAAGTCCGCGGCGATGATGGGTTGCGGCTCCGCATCGGGTCCCTTGAACAGAGATCGGTAGGTTGTTTGGTCAGCGAGCTTCGATCCAGGGATAGCCGGTACAATGACCGACAGATCCTCCTTCAGGATGCCCTCGAGATATTCCAGTCGAGACTGTGCGATGAGAAGATAGCCCTGCGTATCCGAGTCGACGATGGTGTAATCCAAAGACGGGTGAACCGAGATAGCCGCGTTTGCCGGGAGTGTCCAGGGAGTCGTAGTCCAAATAACAGCGCTGATTTCCTTATCCTTGAGCAGGGGGTCCTGTGCCAGATGCTCCGGGATGCTAGCAAGAGGGTATTTCACCAAAGCAGCCGTTGAGACATGATCTTCCTTGTATTCCAGTTCAGCCTCCGCCAGTGCCGTACCAGTCGACGGCGACCAGTAAACCGGCTTGAATCTCCGATAAATCAATCCCTTATCGACCATTTCGCGAAAAACACCAAGTTGTCTCTTCTCGAACGCCTTATCCATAGTCTTCCAATGATTCTCCCAATCCGCCATAACCGCGAAGCTCCGGAATCCCTTCATCTGCGCCTTGACTGTCCGATCAGCCAACTTGCGCGCAGCCTTGCGTACCAACGCTGCGCTAACGGGCCCATTGTGTTCCTGTCCCTGTAGTTCCTTTTGCGCTTCCAGTGCCTTCAGCTCTATCGGCAAGCCGTGACAGTCCCATCCCGGTACGTATCGTATCCGCTTTCCCAGACCGAGCTGCACACGACAAATAATGTCTTTTAGTACTTTGTTGAGTGCATGGCCAATATGAAGTTCGCCGTTTGCGTATGGCGGTCCATCGTGTAGGACGAACGGCTGGCTGGCTGGTCGTTCACGCTGTTGCCAGGCGTAGAGGTCGTCGGTGCATCGCTGCAGGTATTTTGTCCGATCGGCCGGCGTCACGCGTGCAGGGAACGTCGATTTCGGGAGCTTGAGCGTCGACGACCAGGACCGAGCGAGCGTCCGTGGCAGGTCCGGCATACTACCGCTGTATCATATCCCACTGTTTGAGTTTGGGAGAATTGGGCGAGAGGGTGGGTGGTGACTGGTTGGGGAGCGGAGATTCAAAGAATGTCCACCCATCTCCGATGCGGCCGCAAAAGAGTTGTATTTGTATTACGGTATGTTACGCGACCTACCAATAACAACCATTATATAATTGGGGGGCTGTCATTCAATACGGAAGCCAGGATTAGATACACATAGTAGACCCGAAAAGCAACCTCTCCATAAAGCAACGTTGGCTTGAATTAGTACAATATTTCTATCAAAGTATGCAATATCCATGAATCTGATGCTTGCCAGAAGACACCAACCCAAAACTCCGGCCCACCTTTGCGAGGAAATGATCAGGTTAATAGATAGTCAAGCAGCTCACTGCGCCATTCTTCATCACCTCGAACAACAGACCAGGGAATCCGAAGAGCTCCGTATTGCCTAGTCCGCCGTCATGCGCGTCGTGGCCCGCCCTCTGCCCTTTGCCTGTGCTCTCTTCCCATCCACCGAGAAATTCGACGCTGCTCTCTGGGCTGTCGCCCCACCCTCGGTTCAAAACCATGGGTCGCTGTAGAGCCCGCTCCTCCGCAGGGCTCGCATATGATCCCCTCCAGGTTGACCTGAGACGCTCTGAAACCTCTTCATAACGAGTCTCCGAAGTAACAAAATCATCAGGCGAACTGAAAATGATCCTCCACCGGCTGCGGCGATGACGATTGAAAGGATATGAACCCAGCACATTTCCATGTAGGATGATCTTGGTCACCACTAACTGCGAATGGGGTGGGGGTGGAGTGGGGTCTCTCTGGTCAGATTCTGGGAAGGCTGGGCCGGGCGTGGTGGGATAGGAGATGAATGCATCAAAGCCATGGTGGAAGTAGTTGAAGAAGCATTCCGACGGTAGTGACGAAGGATCCGATGCGTTTGGTTGGAAGAGTTCGTCGTCCGAATCATCAGACACACTGTTGTTTGAAGATTGATCGATGTCAGTAACATCTATTCCTCTGCCTGGAGAAGAGCCCATGTGAAGAGCATCCTCGCCACCGCTACGGCCGGCGGCTCTATGAATAGCTATTCTCCGATCATGTTTGCGGTAGATGGCATCGGGTGGCCCGAACTCGGCGACGAGGTCTTGAGGAGTGGTTTCTGACAGCGAGATAAGTGCAGGTGGGCTCGATCTCCGCACCACTTCGATCTTGCCGGCGCCAAGTATGAGAAACTCTTCGATCTCGTCCGGAACAGACTCTCGGCTTTTACTTGCC